ATAAACACGTTTAGATTGAATGGTAATTTATAATCAGTCACAAGAACGTCGAATCTGAATCACTTGAAAAAAACACGGGGGTGCTTAACTTTTTTCCAGGTGTATATATATACATATATACACACACGCATTTTTATTGTTATTAGAACATCTTCATAAGGTTGTAGGAATGTTTTACTGCAACATTACCCAGTAACGTTGTGGCAACATTAGTTCCAACACATAAATTTATGCTGTTGCACTGTAATTCAAACAACTTTTCTGGTCAAGGAATGTATGAATAAAGCTTGTACACAACAGATATTCAAGCACTTTATCTTATATTTGATTTCACATCTACAAGTAGTTGGAGAAAATATTACATTAATAAAACTTGACTCATCACCATGTTTCCACATAGAAGTTACTGTGTGATGAAAGTAAAGGTTTGAATGAAATATATCATCTAAAAGAAAATGTTGGATGATGATTTGTTTCAAAAAACAACAATAAAAAAGCCAGAAAAATGCAGAAGCATAAAAATATGAGAATTAAAAACCTCTCTGTATTTACAAATGTTTAGAAGTAAATTTTTCTTTCATGAAATACTCATTTAATTCCATAACAAATCTAGTTCTTCAATAATAATAATACAATTGTGCTTACATTATTGCTGTCTGGAGAAAGAGACAAAAAATAAAATAACACTCACTGAACTCCATACCGTTCACGAAACATAATGTGGTTCCTGTACGTACGATTGACATCCAAGTCTATCTGCCTCGCGTCTGGCGACCATTGTTTGGCTCGTTGCTTCATTTCCTGACAAAAAAAATATTTCAATTAATACTTTTACTAGAGTATATATAAAACTTCTATGTATAAAAGCAATGGTACACATTAAAACTAATATAGAACAACTACTGTTTTAAACCATTTATTACGATCAACAATTATTTTTCATCTAAAGTCAGCACAAAATTTTGTACTTTTCAATTTAAGATTAGTCTACTATCACATTGGTACAAAATATCAAAATAAATATTTCCATTATTTTTTCAAAATGAGTGAGAAATATATTTAAAAAATAATAAAATAAGACATTAAAACTCCATTACATGTGTTACACAAAGATGCTATATGTTAATAATTATGGCCAGCAAAACATTGTTTATGTGAGCTTAAATGAAGTATGTATTTAAAAAGAAATAAAACTGCAATTGCCATGTGAAATTGATCATTGTATCTTGAAATATTTTGTTTTTAGAACAAAATAACATTTATGATTTTTACACCTGAGATTTGTAAAATTTTGCAATGTGTTAAATATAATTCATTGTGCTACGTTTAGTGATGCTATCCTTAAACATCCTATCGTTATCACGAAAAATAAAACAAAGCACGACCTTACCATATGAGATTTGATCTGAAAAAAGAACAATATTTCTAGAGTATAGTATACGAATTATCAACAAGACAGTATGTGAAACAAACAGAGGGGTTTTATTAATAAAAAAAATTAACAAACACAAGCAGCTTATTTTTCTTTACCTTATATTTTCCTTCTTGTTCTTCTTTTACTCGTTGGATGTCTAGTAATCTTGTCCACATTTCACCACGCACAGCATTTGGTATTCCCTTGTATATTCTTCGTTTCAGCTAGAGGGTAATCATCAAACATGGTCAAAATTCATGCAAAATAAAATTACATTTAAATTATTTTGTTGCAATTACTTTACTTGTTAAAGTCGCCACCAACAATGTGAAATAGTGCATCACATAAATATGATTTTTTTTAAAAAGAAATCTTCAATATCATTTCTATATTATTTCAATTATCACTCCTACATTATTTATTTGTCATTCATAAAGTTGATGTTAAGTGCGCAAAAGCTGTTGTTAACAATGTATTTTGTAATCTAGAATTGTTGGAAGCTTTGTGGAATGACATTTTACATTGTATAATTTTGTCAGATGGCTTTTATTTTGAAGACAAAGTCATTTTACCGACCACATTTACCAGCAAATTTTTGTAACATAAAAATTATACAAATTACAAATGAATGCTGAGAATGTAAGAGTTTGTTTTTGTTCATTTTTAAATCTTATCTGCAAATTATTTTGACAGAATTTTTCACAATAAACAAATATCCCCCTTAGGCTGTATTCTTAACATTTTGTACTTGCTTCAAAAATAACTATTAAAAATCCAGAATTGTGCATTTAAATCAAAGTTACTTCCTTTTAAAATAAGAATTTAAATATCAAACTTACTTTGTCACTTCGACAATACTTCTCCCATGATTTAAGCATTTTCATCCATTTGTTTAACCTTTCATTTTCTATTTCACGCACCTAAAAAAAAAAAAAACAGGAATATAAATTAACTTACAGAGTCAAAATGTATTATTACAACATATTACACCATTAAAAGCTGAAGTATCAAACAGATAAATTAATGCACAGTCATCAATGCAGGTTACAGTATTGTAAGGCATGCTTTATACTACAGTCACAGATAAATACTGTGTGTCATATGTAATCATGTATAAAGACTGTGCAGCAAGTTCTTTTTTCATACAAGAGATATGTAAAGTCACAACCATTCTGACAGAATAAAGTGCACAAATGTTGAATTCTTCAACATCATCCGGAATGTTTTAAAGTCACAGATGCTCAAGAAAAGACAGTACAATTTTGAAAAAAGTAGTATGTTGCAAGAATGTGTATGGTGTAATTCCAACCCGAGACCGAAATTATATTGGAATTCGAAGTATGACCCAGGTCTAACTGCTTTATATTGGAACTCATTATTATAATTCATCTTGATTGTAACTTTACAGGCTAGTTTTCATGGTACACTTTATTAAAATATTTAATCTTAATTTCACATATTTTGCACATCAAGTCTTCACAATTATCTTCAGTAACCAATATTTTGTATCAATTTAGTCTTGTTTTTAATTAAAGTTTTAACTTGCTTGCTTTCCAAAGTTGGTTTTAAGTTAGTTAATGTTAAAAGTAAGATAACAAAGAAGGACAATCAAATCCTCTTTTTTTAATATCAATTTAAACTGAAGTGATAACCATGCTACTGAAAAATATTTCTAACTATATAAGTAAAACTCATTAGTAATTTAACAAACAAGACATAAAAAACTGTTAAATAAATATATAGTATACTTTACGTACATTACCTTTTCTTCATGAGCTGTTAGTCGTTCTGGAAGGCGAGAATCACTACAGACAAAAATTGTTCTTTTATTTATATGTGGTATGTTAAAAAATTTATTTTAGCTGAAGTTGAAATTATTTATCAGTAAACATATATTTTCAATTACTCTAAAATATAGAAAACACTTTCTAATACACAAAATATCAATCTGAACAAAAACAAAAAATAACACTCAGCTCTACATGTAATTATACATTAAAACAACTGAATTATGACTATTTTTATAGAAAAGGATGCCTGTCATTTATTTATTTTTTTTCTAATAATTCAAAGTTTAAAAACGTTTGAAAGAATCTGAATTTTTCTTCTCCTGTTTATATATTTGAAAAAAAAATTGAAACTCTTATCTAATAAAAATTGTAAATTAAAATGATTTATAAGTTGTGTTAAGAATCTTCATGCAAAAACAAGGAAGTGATATCTGCACATCACCATCCCTTATTTTAAACTGACAGAGTAGAGGGGAAGTAGCTAGTAAAGCACTTGTCTGACTAAAGATCAGGTTTCGACTGTCACTCCTATAATACATTCACTACACCAAAGTGCAGAGCATTTTTTTTTCAGTAATGAGACATAAACCAAAAGTTTTCAGATTCACAGTTCAGGCATACTAACCATTAGGCCAGGTTAGGCCCTGATCTGATCTATAAGATTGTTGCATAAAGTCAAATTAAGTTTAAAAAACAAAGAGAGTCAAATTTGTAAATAAAAATAAGTAGTTACAGAAGTAAGTCGCATTACAAAGCTACTGAATAATTACTAGTTGCAAAAGATAAATTCCCATATATTCTACATTTCATTAGAGAATAGATTCTGAATAGTGCACAAAGTTCTCTGTATAAATTTAGACTGATCCAAATGAAATGTTTTCATTTATTTCATCCACAGGCAGTTTGGTTTGCAAATTTATTTTTGTAGAAAATTCTAATATTTAACATGTCTACTAATATTTAACTCCACTTACATAAATACTCAAGATACAATCTTTATTATTAACAAAATAAACATATAGCACCTAGTGACAAACAAACAGTGACTCGTAATGTTATCAATGGATAAATAAATACACGAGTAAAAAGCAAAGCAGGAAACTACAAAATATAACATATTTAATTACGAGCACTTAGCTTTCACAAAATGAATATATATTTTATCACTTACTTTAACCACAATATGCAACAAGAAAGTTTAAACAGAAACACGTATTTGTTCTAAGAAGTTACTATTTTCTCTTTATACCTACCTACATGATGAAAAGAGTATTTTATTTTAGTAATATATATATATAGAATAGAAACTACTCTGTACAGTAAAGGAAAGACTATTAATTTCAACTGAGAACCTGTACAGGCCACCCCCTAATTAGTAACTTACTGCAAAAATCCATAACGGTCTGTAACATGATAAATTTCAAAAGCTGGATCTTCCCAAGGATCAATATTGGCTCCATTCTCTCGACCACGGTCATACTTTGCTACTATTTCTGCTCTCTCTTCAGCTGTTTTTTGCAACTGCGTTAGGTTATAAGTGCCTGGTCATTCATAAAATAAAGAAAGATAGAGCTTCAAACACACTTCCTTTAGCTATCATCCAAATGAAAAACATAACTTGTACATAATAATCACAATTTTATTATCAATGTTTAATTCATATTTCACAGTTGTTTATATTTTAAGTCTTGTACATATTTACATAAAATGTCAACAAATTATATGTGGATTGCTTATATAATAGATTCAACACATAATATTTATTATGGATAAGAAATGGATGGGAAATAAGATACACAAATACTTACTCATTGTTGGTTGGAAATGATAAAGTGACGTTTCCTATCATTTTTCAGAGCAGTAAAAGTTGGAAAGATGATATAAAGAACTCTGTTACTTGTATTCACAGTTGGTAGGCCATCTGTTGACCAACTAGTTCATTAAAAACATTATTAACAGAATAAGCATAGAGCATCTAGTAACCTGAAAAAAAAAGTGACTCATAACATTATCAATGGATAAGTAAATACATTAGTGGAAGGCAAAGCAGAAAAGCTAAAAAAAATAAAAAGATAATTAATTATGAGATCTACATAAAGTAAAAATGTATAAATTTACTTTAAAAACGGATGCATTTTCATTTCTATATGTTGTGATGAAAAAAAGGATGGTTTATGTACACAAAGATAGTAAGTAAATTTTTAATATCACCTTATCTACCACATTGGTTTTAAGTTAATGTACTTCAGCTACTAAAAATAGATGCTGGTACTGACGTCAAAGTAGGCAAACAAGGTTTCTTGCTTGAAACAGAGGCTCCAGTGGTGAAATTTATTAAGTTCAATTATTCATTAGCACTAGAAATAAAATCATACAACTTGTGAACTCAAACGTTAAAAATGGGTTACTTAAGGTGTTTAAACTGTTTAACATGTTTAAAAGTGGTGCATGACATAGAATATTTTTCACAAAGAGATTTCACTGTTAACAGTGATCCAAATAAAAGTTTAAAATTAGGAGTCACCTCACAAGGATGACAAACCTGAACCATAACCATTTTCAAGAAATGATATGTTCTGATCAACCTAGTTAAGTAAATAATGAAGAACTTAACCCACTGGATGGAAATTCCTGTGTTTTGAGGTCTTAAGTAACCAGTGTTAAATCTATGTGAAAAGTCAGCCAGCCTAAAAAGTAAAACACAAGGGAATGTTTACAAAATTTCCACCCAACATCATACCTGTTCAAAGTATGGACATCAAGGATCTTTTCAAAACTCTGCACAACTACCCTCGCTGACTTTAAGGTCAAATGTAATGACATTTATATTAGAAAGAGAAAAGAAACATCTATAACTTTTAACATATATTAGCTCAATGACATTATTACTATTGTAACAACTACAAAACAAGTGACAAAAAGTTTATCTACCATTCATCTTTTAATTTTGTCCTAAAAATCTAGTCTTCCAATTCTTTGTTAATCTTTCATTAAAATTAAAATGCGAACATACACCTCATATTACCAACACAATAATTACATTTTGATAAGTATTTTAACTTAAGGTAGATTTGACTAATGGATTTCGATAACTGAGTAAACGGTGCCACTAAGTACGATTTCTGAGATTTTCTATAATTAAACCTAATATAAACTAGGAGATAAAGCACAATCTTATGCCACTTAGTCAAGAACTCTTTAGAAATAGAGAGATTTAGCAATCAGTTATATTGAGTGCGAAATCAATGGCTTACTTACCACCATAGGCGTTTCACATATACATCCTATTGCCATTCGAAGATTTTGACGTATAGGTTACATAAACCTAACTGCACACTCAACACTACTAACGTGTCGTTTGCTGAAACGGCGGGAAAGAACTACACTATCGACATCTTTTACACACTACTCTGTATCTAATCTCTACGATGATGTTTTTATCAAACATTTTAGGGATCTTCTTGCATACTTTTGGGATGACTAACTCTAAGCAACATAATGCTTTAATCCTTTATGCAACAACGAAATAACTAGGGACGATAAAACGCGAAACTGACTAAACGCAGAACACGCTGGTCTTGATTGGACACACTTTCGGCTTACTTCACCGCGAGTCCACATGCACACGTATGTTTGTCAAACACTCATCGGTTAGACGATTAGTCACTAATGGGGACTCCAATCATATAGGTGTGTTTGTTTTATCCTTCCTGCATTGATTTAAATAACACATGCTATACAGGACATGGCTGCCCACTACACTGAGTTTACGCTGTATATCATGATTTTATTTTTCTTCGGTACATCTTGTCAACTAAATACTGGAGTATTTTCTTTGTTTTGTCTATGAGTACCAAGAGAGGTGTATTAATGTATCCCCAAGATACAGGGATATGTTTAAAAGGTATAGCGTGTGTTTTCGTAAAGCAAAGCCACATCAGGCTATCTGCTGTGTCTACCGAGGGGGGGGGGGAATCTAACCCCTGATTTTAGCATTGTAAATCCGAAGACTTACCGCTGTCCCACCGGGGAACCAGACTTAAAGGGAGTGACCTACAGCATAATGAGTCATACATACAGGAAGTGACCTAACACACGGTAAAAGATGTAATTTCTGAGTTGAGTAGACCGAAATTTACGGTTAAGATGAAAACTATAACATGATATATATATATAACAACAAATGATTTATTTACAACTTCATACATGCACATATATGTATGTGTAAACACAGCTCAAGGTGTTGTACTATCTAACCTGTAGAAGGGATTTGTTTTTCGAATATTTGCGTAAAGCTACGCAAGAAGTACCTCCATTGGGCATTCCTAATCTTGGATTAATAAGACTAGAGGGAAGGCAGCTAAAGGGGCACGTAAGATAAAGCTTGTGAATTTTCATGCTTGACAGAAATTGTTAGAAGAGTAATATAAAGTTAGTTGTTACGTCACAGTGGAACAGTTTTTGGAGGCACATTAAGCAGATGGAACTAACTGATAAGAGCATTGTGAGTTAAAACACCGTAAGCTATCCTCAGCATGGAATAATATAATGTAAATGACCCGAATATTGAACAAATTAATTTAGCTGAGATAAACTCACATTCCCTTCTAACAGGTTTCACCTTGACATGACCTGAGTGACCCAAGAATTGGCAATGGTTGCTGTTGGCTGGCTAGCTGCCTTCCCTCCAATCTTATTAATTCAAGATTAGGAATGGTTGCTGTTGACTAGCTAGCTGCTTCCCTCTAGTCTTATTAATTCAAGATTAGGAATGATTGCTGTTGACTAGCTAGCTGCCTTCCCTCTAGTCTTATTAATTCAAGATCAGGAATGGTTGCTGTTGACTAGCTAGCTGCCTTCCCTCTAGTCTTATTAATTCAAAATCAGGAATGGTTGCTGTTGACTAGCTAGCTGCCTTCCCTCTAGTCTTATTAATTCAAGATCAGTAATGGTTGCTGTTAACTAGCCTCTAATTTGATTAATATCCGACAACTGTAAACAACCTATGACACCAAAGAAAGGTGCTTTGTTTTAGAGCAAAGTCACATTAGGCTATCAGCTGTGTCCACCGAGTGGAATAGAACCCCGGGTTTTAGCATTTTTAAGTCCATACATTTATCGCTGTCCCACTGAGGGACACAATAAAAAATACATCACGTCTACAAAGAGATAAGGAGATTTTCTGTTTCTAAAAATTGTGAATCAAAAACGTTAGGAAATCAGCAAACACGCTGAAGAAGTATATTTCAGCAAAATACTATAAAGATTACATACTAAATCACAAACTAATTTAACCTAACTTTCTGCATAACCTTAATTCAACTTAGCTCGAAAACAAGTAGGTTTATTACAAAAAACAGCAACACAAAAACAAACTTTACAGAGCTGTAGTTTACACGTACATGGGATGAAGAAGTTGTGACGACCAACACTTAACACTGACTTAATACTAGGCACGTTATATGGAATGTGATTTCATATCCGCCTTACAGATCTTATCTACATGCCCGTTTCAGATGTGATTGCCAACTTGAAGTAGTGTTCACTTCGACCGATAGGTTGGACGTGATAGATTTATCATCTCCACTGAATTTCATAAAAAAGTTATTTGAAATCACCGAAAGACTAACTTCTGGGGGGAAAAAAAGAAAGAAAATTACACAAAGAAATTATTCAAGCAAGTTCACAAATAATTTGGAATTATAAT